CGCCCCACTGTGGCTCCTGCACTCAGACACCTCCCTCTGCCAGGCTCGTTGAAGCCATGGCACCAGCAGCCGGGGGCCCGTAGCCATGAGGTGGTGCTATTGCTGCTGACCTTAAGGCAGTGTAGCCGGCGTCCCCCGGGCCGGCCCTTCACGCCACGCGCACGTCCCCCAACAACGAATCACAGGCTACAAGCTGACGAGCTGCACGGGCACTTGGCTCTGTGTCCGTCCGCCGGTGGGAACACTGGCACGTTGGCTTCATTCCCCTTAAACTTTAAAGCCTCAGGGCCGATCGAAGATGTGCCGTGAGGACTTGCTGCACCTCATTTACTCCTCACAACAGCTCTCACCCAGGTTTCCAGGTGGAACAGAGGCGCAAGGATGAAGCCACGTTCCCAGAGACTCACAGTCCGTGGTGGAGGCAGGATTCAAGCCCCGTGCTGGTGCAGAGCCTCCTGGTGCAGAGAGGGTGCTGCCGTGGGGGGGGGGGGGGTTCCTGGCAAGGGAGCTGCCCTCCTGGCAGGTGGGAGTGCCCTGGTGTGGCCGCCCTCCTCCACTCCGTGGCACTGCCCTCCGCTCCTCAGGAAAGTGCTGCCCTGATTCAGGCTTGAATCCCTCTGGCTACAGTGGCAGTTCTGCCGTGACTGGGTGACAGGGAAATGGGTCGCACATACAGGGAGGCCAGAGGTGGGGCTGCTGTCGCTGTGCCTTTAGTCTAGGCCTCAGCGCTGACCCTCAGCCGTATCCGTGGGCTAGAGCGTCCGTTGGGAGGCCGGGTGCCCGTCTTTGGGGCCTGTGGACGCCGCAGCCGGTCACATGGGAGCTCCCCAGCAGCTGGGAGAATGCAGTGCATTGTCTGTCTGTCTGTCTTGAGAGATGGAGGTGGGCAGAAGGAAAGGGAGTGGGAAGGGAGGTGGGTAGTGAGGGGTAAGGATAAGACTGGCCAAGGGGGCTGACAGTGACTAGGAGGCTGGTGGCAACACTGGTGATGGCAGTGGTGGTGCTGGTGGTGCTGATAGCACTGGTGGTAGTGATGCTGGCAGTAACAGCAGTTAGTGCCGTGATGGTGGTGATGGTGGTAGACGGTTGTGTTGGTCAAGGTGATGGTCTGTGGTGGTGGTGGCTACTGATGGAAGTAGGAGTTGTAACAATAAATGGTAGAGAATGGGTGCCAGGATGGGGTGGGGGTGGATAGCTCCACAGGAGTCAGACCCATAGCAGCCTGGATCCCCAGTGCCCGAGGCACAAAGGGAACTTCCGGTTGACCTTGGAGCCCCTGATTGGCAGGCCGAGTGCCCTCCCTCAGCCCATGCCCCACAGCCCCGCCCCATAGCTGCAGGTGGGGCAGCAGCAGAGACACAGAAAGTGCCCAGCCCTTCCCGGGACCCTGGGCACAGGGTCCAGCTGAGCTCTCAGTGT